ACAGAATGATATATATTATATAATATAATGTAAAAACTAAATCAAAGATGTCGCCACTATTATCGAAATTGGAATTAAAAAAGTCTGTACTATCGACCTTGATTGAGTTGGGTAATCGGTTTAGCATCCCCTTAAGGACGACACAAATCTAAAATCAAACATTTATAGTTAATTTTGTTGGTAAATATTAGGGATATGCAAAAGTTTATCTCTTTTTCAATTTTCTTTTATTTTCATATAAGTACTATAATCAATTTTCATACAAATCCGTCTTTAAAATTTTTTTCATTTATAATACCATTTATAATACCTTCTACCGACTTTTTGGCAAATTTCGAATTTCGTTGCGAAATCGAACTATTCATCATACAAGGACCAGAAAATCATCGTGCGTATTATAAGCGAAATTCTAAAATAGTAATAATTTAAATATTGATACTTTTTAGTAATGTACTATTTTATAAATAATGCTTTTAATGTTTTTTAATTAAGCTATCTGTTTAATAAATATTAATGTATTATTAACGTAACTTTATACTATTCTGTTGTGCGCTATTATTTAATGTAATTAAAATATGAATTGTATAAAAATATAAAATTCATATCTTTAATATAATTTACATGCAGGTGTCACATTATATTATTCGCTAAAACTATAGACATTTTTGTCATTGAAAGTACCATTGAAGTAAATTTCTAGATTTATTTTTTGCATCTATAATATAAAAGCGTTTTATTACTATAGTGTTCTAATAAAAGCTTGAATGATTTTCATAATTTGCATTTTTTAATGTAGAATATACATGTAATATATATATCTTAAGATATACAGAATTATCGCATTTTCTTTAGTTAGAAACAAAATTGCAAACAATTTTTAGCAAACACTCTTACATCTTTTAATTTTAACAATTTTAATTTTGAATTAAAAGAAAAGTTTGCATACAAGAAGAAAATTATATAAGGTACTTTTAAATTCTAATAAAATTTGTCTTTAAATTTATATATACAGGGTGTCCCGACCTTTTTTGCCAATCACTTTTGTATAGATAGAGCAGACTGAACTGAGTCGAAAAGTCCTCTACCATTTTGCAATTTTCGCAATAGTTAACAAGATATTAATTACTAGAAATTGCAAAATATTGGTCTTGAATAATTTTTTACTCAAATACTATCAACTTTACAGAAAAATTGCAAGAGACAAAAATTATTTATTTTCTTCTCATAGAACTTTGAGAATTTTTTCAGAATATTTTGATACCGTATTTTCTCATGGTTGGTAAAAATAAGAAAATGCAGTACTAAAAAGTTGATAATAAATTCTGAAAAAATTCTCAGAACTTCATGAGAAGAAAATTAATGATTTTTGTCTCATGCAGTTTTTCTGTAAAGTTTTGATAGTATTTGAGTAAAAAATTATTCAAAACCAATATTTTGCAATTTTTAGTAATTAATATCTTGTTAACTATTGCGAAAATTGCAAAATGGTAAA